ACGGTCTATCTGTCGATGTGATATTCATAGATTTTAGCAAAGAGTTTGACAAGGTTTCGTACGTAGGTCTTATGCAGAAGCTCGCGAGCTTCGGAATAATAGGTACTGTACACGAGTGGATAGGAAATTTCTTATGTGACCGCAGACAGAGAGTGAGGGTTAACGGAACGCTATCCGATTGGAAGCCGGTCAAAAGTGGTGTACCCCAAGACACCATCTTAGGCCCTCTGTTCTTCCTTCTCTACGTTGATGAGTTACCGCTGTTACTTAGGTCATCCACATTATTGTTTACGGATGATGTTAAAATCTGGAGAACAATAAAAAGTGCGGCTGATCATCTGGATCTTCAAGCTGACTTAGACGATTTAGTTAGATGGGCTCGAGGTTAGAGCCTAGAAATCAATGCTAGGAAGAATGTGCTAATGCACATCGGTCACGGTAATAGTTACCGTTACACTATTGATGGTAAACCTATTCCATGCGTTCAAGAGCATAAAGACTTAGGAGTAGTATTAAGTCATGATTTAAAAACAACTACGCACTGCAAAGCAGCCGCTGTCAAAGGTTTTCGTGCGTTATGGTCATTTCGCCGAGCGTTCAAATGCTTTGACGAGGAAACGTTTCGAATTTTATATCCCACCTATGTAAGACCACACTTAGAGTACTGTATCCAAGCAGCTAGCCCGTGTCTGGTAAAGGATACTAACTCCCTTGAGCGTGTCCAGCGTGTGGGAACGAAATTAGTGAAGGGTCTTTCTAGACTCCCTTATGATGAGCGTTTAAAACGCCTAAATCTTTTCCCCTTGTCGTATCGTAGGACACGAGGTAACTTTATACTGGCATTTCGTATCTTTAATTATGATTTGAGTGTTAATATGTCTTACCTTTTTGCTCCCTCCAGCACTAATGATCTCCGCAGTCATAGCAAGACGGTTTATAAACCGTCGATCTAATAAACTTAAAGTGAGGTCTCGTTTTTCTCATCGAGTAGTCAATCATTAGAACGCCTTACCCGAACAAGTGGTATCAGCCCCATCAGTGAATACTTTCAAGGAGAAGCTGGACCTTCACTGGAAAGCAGTGTGTCAGGATCAACACAGGTTCATTAACCTACTATCCTTATTACTGAAGACTGAAGACTGCTCTTCATTTATCAAGAGTATGTGCTGATATTATGTGTTCCGTCAGAGAATTGCAGTAATTCACTACTCAGTGATAGAGACTGAACACGAGGTGTAAGCGATTTGATATCGAATTTTGAAATTCCTTAGAATGTCCTCTCAGATTATCAGTCCCTGGTGGAAGAAAAAGATAAGACGGGATAATACCAAAATCATCATTCAGTATACGGTAAGTCCGTATTATATCACCCGTAGCCTGCTGTAAGATAACAGAAATAGATTGAATTGTCTCAGTCTGTCTTCATATGGCAGGCCAGAGAAACCGTTCTCAATTTTAATCCCTCACCGCCGAACTCGTTCTAGAATATCTGCCTTTAACATAAAACAAGGACTCGCTTTTTGAGTCCAAAAGTTTAACAAACGTTCATTTCCAGTAAAGTACAGGAATTGTCCGACCTCCTGAGCTCCTATGGATTTGTCTTAATTACTATCATAGTTCACCCAATTCGACAAATTAATTGGTGTCGGGCCCTTTTTAACACTCGAACAGTACTTGCTTCTAACCACACAATATTTGAAGCTGGATGAACACTACATCAGGCGACTTGTACGACGTTGAATATATGATGTGAAACGGTGGAGGTCAATAAATACTGGCTCGAGAACACTATCAGAACTGCGTGACTCGGTAATGCCAGTGTATCCACTCTGTGAAATTCTCTCGTCTTTATATTACTTACAGTATTTCGTCGGTTAGCTTGAGTTTGTTTCCGAAAGATTTTTGGTAAACACTACTCACAAGTGTAATGATAAAGCAAATAAACATAGACGATGATGTCACTTTGAAGTAAGATTATATATATATATTAGGCCGTCACATCATTGAGATTCAACTATAATATACAATGTCTGTTAGTCTAATATTATCAGATAAACGCACTAGTACCGACCAAAAACAAATACAACAGGGTTTAACTAAAAAAGATTATGTAATTATTCCTTGGCAATATCGACGATAAATACTTTGCCTTAAATATTACAAAAATGCATGGATCGTCTCTCACATCTGAGAGCATACTACTATATAATTCTAAGAACAGGAACAAAATGACAGGGCTGGTTCTCTTTGAAGACGCCACAGGTATTCAGAGTTTGACAACGCTTTGACCAGTAACACCTCATATGAAGCGTACCCATCAAGTGAAATCAGAAGACAGAAGCGAGGAGGTTCGAAGATATATTTGATAGGCTACCAATATATCGAGAATCGTCTAATCTAATCTGTCTAGCGATTGCAGGAATTTTTGAGATCGGCGTCCCCATTCGTGATCTGGTGCAGACACACGAACGAGCGCCTTCAGCTAGGTGAGTCCATTAAAACTAATGTGGTCAGCATCCAATGTCGAAAATTTACAGAGCTATTTATTTTGGGGATTTATTTACCGCTACATCTTATTTACATAGGTTTGACTTGATATCGACGAATGCATTCGATGCATATGGTAAACATACATGTGAACTCTAGTCATGTTGTTAGGTAAAGTAATGATCTAAATGAACATGTAGATAGAATAACGTAACTTGATTTTTCTGATACATGACAACGTTTTCAATCACATTTGTACGGAACGTGAAACTGGGTAGCGTATTAACGTGACACATCTGAATAGCACCATAAACTACAAGTGTTTTAAGAAAACGAGTCACATGCGTCAGATTTGTCCTTGATATTCTTCTTACACTTTGTCCATGTGAATTCGTCCTCTCACCATAAGACTGCTAGCACTTCGAGCTACGCCAATGAACAAGTATATAGTGGTGTTGGACCATAACCACAGAATCGTCAAAGCTGAACATGAGACAACTCGGAAAACAGATATTCAATATTTAACACGGAGAAATACCTAACGATGGAGTAGGCGGGAACAAGGAATTGAATGAATTGGAGTTGATCGGATGGCATGGCTCGGCCATACAGGCGTGGTCCCTGTTGAATGTTACCTTATATCTTCTATTCACATTAAATATATTCTTCTTTCTCTAGCCTAACCTTGTTCTACATCATGTATTGGTAATTGATACGATACAGTGAGTTGGCGTAGTCGATAGTGTGACTTCCACGTAAGATCTTATAAATTAGGCAGTTATATCATGACAAATCTACAGATATAGGATTAGGCCTATTATCAGAGCAGCACCAATATTATAGTAGACCATTATTCGACAAGTATACTCTAGTCATCAGATTCTGTTTAATGAAAGGTTAATGAGTAATATTATTTTAACATCATATTTATTAAACTAGGCAGATTCATAGATTTATTTGGCTACATTGCACATTAAAACTATTATTAAAGCCACATTTTTTGGTGCCTAGTTGTACCACTGCTGGTAAGTTTTAATAAGCAAGTACATTTTATATTTTTCTTCAATAAGACTTTCAACAAATTTTTTAGTTTCAATTAGCGTCCAGACTATAGCAACACCGGAGTCACGTGTGACACGATGCCGATGGAAAGTTACACGTGGTTAAGTATGAATACACAACGGAATTTAGCGTCAAAAAATTCTGGCTCTAATACAGTGCTTGGCGAAGTTACATAGGGCACAGTCTTAGGTGCAGAGTTATTTACTTCTAGCGTTGATGACTTCTTTGATCTTCTAATACCGCCAGATATTAATCCATAGATTATAGGTCAGATACATAAAGTGATAACAGGCGGGAAGGACGTTACAGAGGTTCATCAAGATCCAAATAAACTATCAGAGGTTTTCGACACTTGGCAATTGTAAAATAATGTTTTCAAGTACATTATGGTTTAGATTGTTCAAAAATAGGCGAGTAAATTCATACTGAATGTTCTGAGTATATCCCCCAAACAGACGTGATAACAAACAACTGTCATAATTTGTAGATTTTCGTAGGCCAAGAAAAAGACATCAAGATACACATTCAAATAATGGCTATGAAGGGTGTAAGAACATCCTCCCAAATAGACTGCGAGACCTATGCAACGTCATGTACATTAGATGTTATCTTAAAATCTATGTACTGCATTCAGATGGCTGGTATCTATTGAAAACAATTTGGACTTCAGAAATTGTCCAGTAAATTGGAACATTCGAATCTCGAAATTTCTCTATTGTTATCTATTATTTAAATTAAGAATTCCCCACTCTCATCACAGCCTTGAATCATTTATGATGGTTGTACATCTGGAAAGCGTTTAGGCACATTGTTGGCCATTTCGACGGCACACTGGAATGTACTCAAACGGAGAGCCACGAAATCAGTTCGGGGACTCGGAGTAAAACCCTGAGAAAAAGGGTGACATTTTAATGACTTTCAGCACTCCAAACATTTCTAGGTTTTCCTTTAAATATCTACTTAAACTCAGTCCCAACGCAAACCTTGGGGTTACCATTTAAAAAATACGGACGCGACATGACAGTAGGGACCATAGTCATATCTTTTACACCTTATAGCCTGTCGAATTCTGAATTACGCTGTCGGCTTATCTAGTACTAGCGACTTCCCAGAAACCCTTTAAAATAAAACTTGACATTTACTTAGGAACTGAGGACAGTCTCTCACCAGAACGTTTTGATAATTGTTTTTCTACCACTAGATATAACTTAATTCCTTTCTGACGGCATCGGTGATCCACCGTTTCTAGACACGAAAGCGCGTTATGTAAAGATCTATTTCGTTCAGAAACATTCGTACTATTTGAAGAACAGTAATCTGTCTTAAAATAAGGAATCGTTGTGGTCTGAACAAACTTCGAAGCCTTTTGCATGAAAATGACTGAGACTAGATCGTTAACATGAGAAGGCTATGTAAATGGTGTGCAAAAATTGAGCGGTGAGGAACAAGTGATGGCAAGTACTGGAAGACCTCCTTTCAATTTGATCTTTTAAATAGAGGTCATAATTTGTTATCTCTAAACAAGGCAAAATTTTCAGTGTGTTTACTAAATTTTGGACATTTGCCGCTGAATTTGGTTGACCCCTCAGTGCGCGCTATTCGTTTTGACTACGGAATCTGTATATTTTGTTTTTGTTGGTTAGATGGTAATCTATGGACCTTTGAACCACATTTTGAAAGAGGTCGTCTGCTTGTAAGTATACCCATATGAATGTATGAAAACTCCGAACTTTAATTTCAAAGTGTTCCTAAATTTTAATGAGGTTTAGTTTTATGATGGCATTTGTATAAACATTGACCCGTGTGTGTGGCTCGTAACAAGTTTGTGTCTTCTGCATAAAACTGAGTTTACCCTTTGGAACCCGAAGGTTATCAAACCATACCCGTCGACTTTTGTACGACTTCTTCATGTTCAGCATTAGTGAACAACTAAATTGATGAATGTAGAACTCTACTCAGGTTTTACCATTGTAATCCCTAAATGATATTCGAAGTTATCTAATTTTTGAGTGACTTATTTCTATCTTCAAGTAACCAGAGTTATAACATTAGTGTCTCGTCGTTTCATCATGCCTTAAATTAAGTGGGTTTAGGTTTGCATATGTAAGTTAGGCATTTTAGCGGTATCCTCAAAACAGTTCGATATATCGGAAGCTCGGTGCCACAACGAAAAATTAGTCAATATGCTGTAGATGTGTTCATGAATCATAATTTTAGTCTCAGGTGTTTTATTACTGTTCTCTTCACGGTTCGTTTGGCTTTTGCTTGGAATGGGGTTTTTAGGAACTTCAAATCTTTGGCACATGCTTGTTTTTGTTACAGCTAGGGTGTATGTCTTTTACATTTTCTTGATTAATATAGAGTATGAACGTTTTCGATTATTATCTTTCCACCATAATTACCAGCTGTACAGAAGTAATACAGTTCTATTTCTTAAGTTACTACTTTTTATTTTGTTTTTCAGCCCATTATGAGCAGTGTTCGACCGATCTCTTTCACAGCTGCAAAATTGCTATGGGACCCAGAACTAAATCCATCTTGTCGAACTCCTTTGTATCGAGTTGATGGCATTGTAGAGGGGGTAAGCTCGATCTTAACAATAATTATGCTTTGAAGCGAAACGAACCAGATCCAGATCCAGTAGTTGATCCCAGACGCCCTTTGCACTTTAGAAATTTTTGCAAGAAGGCGGTTGTCGATCTTCCGATCCCGAGTTTCAAGGTATTTCGCGATTTACTTTAGGAGCAATATGTGACAGATTGACTTATATTACGTGGGTGAAAAACCAGAAAAAGAGGTCACTTTCTCGAATCTTAATGATAACATCACATTTAAGAACCTAGAAGACATGTGTCGTAAATTCGGTACGATTATAGAAGCTAAAATCTACTATCATCCAAAATCACAATGCCACCTTGGTATCGGAACCGTATGTTAGAATTGGATTTGCTATTCAACTTTTCAGGTTGTATTTACATCCTCTAAAAGTGCAAGAGCTTGTGTGGAACATCTTAACCAGACATCAAAGATGGGGAATATAATGACCGTACAGGTGGATCCTTTTGGTAAAAAATGATTTGCTCTAATTAATCTTACTTTAGGTAAAATTAGAGTCCGGTTGATTGCTGAACAAATGGCTGATCTCCTGCCTTCAAACTCTTGTGATCAATTCCAACTTCCAGAAAAACCTTTTGCTAATCAGATACACAGCCACATACCTTCTGATTTCTCATCACAAGGTCCCTCAACTTGTGAAGTTTGTCCACACAATCCTACTCCACGTCAGTCTCATACATCCGCAAATCTTAGCGATCACAAAGCGATTGAAACTTTGCCACAACCGCATTGCATGACAACGTTCAAGTCTCACCTGTTTTTCAAAGCATCTGATAAACAGGAATCGGACTTAAAAACACATTTACGTCCTGAAAAGTCGGCATGTGTTCTGAACAACGATGATATTTCAGAAATATCTTCTGCCGCGACCCACTGGCATCGAGAAGCTCCGTCTAATTCAAATATTGGCAAAAGTACTTCAGGTTTTTTAGTAGACCAACATACAATGGGACTTGAAGCCAATACATGTGTTTCTAAAAAGCTTTCTAGCCAACAAGATGATGCAAAACTTCATGAGTCCCGTTATTGCGAAGAGTCTCTTGAAGCTCGCATACAAAAATTGCTTAAACTGAATTGTGTAAAACCAGTTCCTGAGTTAAAACATACTCAGAATACCCCAGTCGTTTCAGATCATAACTCGAAAGTCACTTGCAATCTTCCAGTATCTTCAGAAGCATGTATTTCGACCAATGTACGTATCAAGTCGGATGATTTAAAACGGTTTGAAAGCCCTTCAAATCAAGTGGTTCAGAAGGGAAGCACGCCTTCTGATTCATCGAAAAATATACGAGTAGTAACAAGCCCGTCATCCAACCGTCGCACGCTTTTACCTACTCCTGATGGGTCACTTGAGAATACCAAGACTTCTTTATTCAACCTTCATCGTCCGCCCCTCCTGAAAACTCCTTACAAACCAGTGGATGTTCAAGAAGTAATAAAAATAATCGATGACGTTCATATGGTTTTTGTGGATGAGTTACGAGGAATCATACATCGGGATATAACCCGAAAGCTTGTTGAAGGTCAGGCATTTAAATTATTTTCCGATTGGTGGGATTCGAGAGAACAAGACTACAGAGTAAGTATATTATATTGTCATCATCTGACATAGAAATATCTTTATCAGCCAGGAATAGCTAGTTATTGAAGCAACCGTCAAAAGTGATCTAGACCTTTGTAAATTAAGGGAAAGTTTATATAAACTGGGTTTTTGTCAGTTAACCATTAAAATTGTTATACTCAGTAAAATTCTGTGCAACTCAAATAGGTTGTGCCTTGGGTCAGTGGGTTAGCGGCTAAACTACCTGATTTTCAGTCGTTTGGTTACGGATTAGGACCCTATCCTATCTACTTTGGTTTAGGCAGTTTAGTGATAACTTTCACTTAGTATGACGTGAAACCTAGTATGTAAACTGCACTTGGTGAATGAGCTCTGGCTCTTTTATTTCATTACTCACTCCACTGGACAATTGCACGATGCTGATGAAAATATGACTTAGTCGGAATTGGAATTTCATTCTAATTAATCTATATCAGAATTGTAATAATCAGGCAGCTTTCGTGGATCATAATTTTTCGTTTTCCGTTTACAACTTTTCATGAAAACTGTATGCGTACAAAATTTATTTGACAATTCATTAATTTCGTTTATTTACTTTTATTTTGATAGCAAAATCATGTCAGTAGTCATCACAATATTAAAGAGGAGAGTGTGGGTAGTAATTATGTAGACCATCCAACCACATCTCATGATTCTACCGTTCCATCACATCAGAACCAAAGTGCTAGTGGGAATATGTCTAACTTTTCATTTGCTCCTACTTCAGTTTCTTCTAGTATTCCTATATCAACTATGTCTGACAATAATTCTGTATCTTCAAACTTTAAGCTTTTTGGTTTGGGTATGTTTACAACCTTAAGATCTGCTTTGCCAAAAATTAAACGCAAACCTCGTCCACCTAGTCCTGAACCCATAAGTTCAAACACAGTAGCTTCCACATCAAAGACTGAGTCTCTTGCTATCTGTCAAGATGAACAAAATGTAAATTTTCGGAGTAAAACTGAATTAAAGCTAAGAGGATCTCCTTTTTGGGAAAGCCGTGGTTCTCTAATACAAAAAGCAAGTGACATATCAAGTTCGGACGAGAACAATGGTGAAGTAAATATTCGTGGTAAAATCTCTGAATCTTCAGGTAATTTTTTGTTCGTATATGCTCTCATTTTATAGTTGATTACTAGTTGATAAACCGCTTTTTGGGGAAATGTCGAATTATATCAGGTATAAACTTATGTAATGAGCAATATATTTTAAGTTCAAAGAGTTTGTCAGAAAATTTAGTCAGTTGTCTATTTTTGTAATGGTACAGTTGCTGAAATCTTTTTAAGATTATGTATTACAATGAGTGGATTTGAGGAATGCTGCTTAGTTTCTTTTTAACTCCTAGTCGTTTATTCCAGTAGTCATTAATTTGTTTACTGCGCCGCAGTACGGTCTGTATTTATTGATGGCTGTGAATTAGGAAACACGTCAGCTGTAGTTTTTTATTATGAGTATGTACAAAGCATTGTTTGTGTTTCGCGTGACAACCAGTGAATGAGTGAAGTCAAGCTTGGGGGATTGGGCAGAGGTGGCGAATCTGTTGACGACTTTGCAAATCCTCACCGACTGAAGTAGTTAAGACATGTGTTACGTATGTTTTACCACCGTCAACCTCGACAGGGGATGCTTGCTGGCATAATAGTAGGTTAGAAGAAAGCTAGGAACGTCTTAATCACCACACAATATTAGTTTATGAAGTCACTGATTACCTAGTTGAGGTACACGAGATAACCGCAATCAGTGTTTTGGGATTTTACGCGATATTGCTTCGATTCGTTCACAGCGTTGCAGACGCACTCTTTATCTTCTCGGTCCCGGATTTCAGAATTCCTTGTTACATACCTTTGCACTCTGCCTCATGTAAACATATTTCAATTTCACATTTTTGGTAAACATGTACTTCAGGTAGTGAAAGTTCCACGGAACAAGCAGACCAAGTGACTACTGATCGTGTACGAGACCTTTGCAGCTCAAAAGAACATCAGGATAGGCATAGATATCATCACGTTAGAAGACGCTCTGGAACTTCCAAGTCAAATGACAAATGTGAATACGTTCGATCACAGTCTAAATTCCCTTCAAAATCAAGCCATTCTCCTGAAAATATTCGTACAAGCGATTATACTTCATCGGATAATGATAGCGAACTCATTTCTCCTTCAAAATCTTTTCAGCATATTAAGTCTCGTAGAGAACATGCGCGTGTTTCAGATGTATTTTCCAAAAGGTATATTTCCATTATTAAAAACTTATATTTCACTATAAATGTCTTGAATATTTTTTTATCTAACAGATTATAACGTCTGATGACACCTAATTTCTACATCAGTGTGAACGGGGTTTGTTTATATGATTGTTAATAAATTCGAAATCTACATTGTTTGATTGCTGAACACCAGCCTCAGTCTTGTCGTAGTAACCAAATTGTATATCTTGATAGACACTAGTCTGTTCATCTGAAAAATACTACCGTGAATTTTAAATTGAAGTACAAAGGCATGTAAATGTTCTTGTGTTAACTCCCGAATTTCATCAATTATTATAGTAAAGAGAAGAATTTATTGAACTAATAATGTCAGTATATGACCTGTTGTAAATTCTTTTGAACCATTTGGCGAGATTATTGTAAGTTGGTACAAACTATATAGATCATGTTTAAGGATTCTAATGGGAAATATGTATTTGTGCTAAAATGATTTAAAGTCACTCCTAGATAAATAAACGTACAGCTATTAGGCAGCTTAAGTTATAGACAGACTAAAAAATCTATCTCAACATCGTACCTGTCCACAACTTAGTGCGTAGAAGCCAAATACACCATTACCGATATGTTGATTATTTTCTATTGACATGCATAAAATCAAGTTTACACTTGAATTATTTCTCTAGTCTTTTTGTACAATTGAGAGTTCAGCGTTTTAGATGCAACTGGTGGCAAATTTATAACCTAAGGATTTTTCACGCGCTATGCATCATGTTTTTAAAGAGTATTGGGACCATTTCTTAATTTCACAGTGATAGGACATTTTTACTTTGTAGCCATTTAGAACAGGTGACTTATTACATTTTAGAAGTTGGGGTTTTATCAGAATTGTCACTTTCGGTGGATTGCTAGTTTTTTGTCAACTTAGTTAACTTATAAGTTGCTACAATGACTGCAGTAGTAGTCTTACTGATCACTTCAACCGTAGTATCGAACCCAAAATTCTGACTTAACAGTTTTGAGAAAGTAACCACGGTTCGGCTGACTGGATATCCGAGTAAATATGAAGCAATAAGGGGTCCTCAGTCATTTCCACAGCATCTATCGAGTGTACTTGATTGAAGTTATTCATTTGTTGACAGGACGCATCCTTGATTGTTACTGGGTTGTGGTTCATTGAATTATAAGCAGTGATAAGGCTACGACATCATATTAGATGCTAATTTATACTCTGGTTTAACCTAATTCCTGTTAATCACCTATTAATGAGAACCTAACCGATTACAGGTATCTCAACTCTGGTAATTCGTACGAACTCGATACAAATCATTTTAGTCCAAATGATAAACATAATTCACACCAGCTCCATATATATGTATTGTCGTTACATAAAAGAAGCCACTTCATTCAAAAAAGAGCTTACACTCTAATATCCAGCAAAAATCATAATACTTTGTTGCTGACGGTAATATTGAAAACAAGTAGAGGCTTCACAAACTAGAATTATGTAGGATGGTCGATGTTTTCTTGTGCAGGAGTAGGCTGGAAGAAAGCTAGGAGAGTCCAAGACAAAACATGTCATTCGTTCTTGAAGTCACTGGCAATTGAACTTAACCATGTTAATAGGTACAAACTACCTGGCTGGGGGTCTGCGTGGTTATCGTAACCAATAGTTAGAGACTTTGAATGACATGGCTAAAAATCGTTTGCAATGGCGCAGGTAAACCCATTCTTTGTCTTTCCCCAAATTCTGAGGTCTTAAATTCCTCATAACTTTGTTTTGTTTTTATTCCATTAATTTATATTTTCTTTTCCAGTTGTATCCTCTATGCCTAATCTTTTCTATTACCACTGATACTGTTAATACGTCTACTGTTTTAGGTTTTAGCCTGATAACATCTCTGTACTAATAGGGCATGGCAAATTGAACCGACGTACATACGTACAGATTCTATGTTGTTACTGACTGACTGATTATGTAGGAAATTCTGAGATATCACAGGATATAAAACAATACGAAATTCGGATAAAGTAATGGTTGGCTGAAGCTTGCTGTGACTTGAACTGAATTCCTCTCATTTCATTTACATATTTGCAACTGACGTTATTCCATCACACTGAAAAATCAGAGAAACATTTTTCTACATAGAGCTGCTGTACGTTTGTGTTGTTTTCAACCAGTATTGGATGTAGTACCTAAATCATGTTAAAATGTAAATTTCCGGATGCCGATCAAATACATGAAGATCTATTATGAATCTAAAAATGCGAAAATACAAAATGATATTTGTAAGAAACATTGTCTTCCTCTATCCTTAATCCACTTAACAGTGAGTAGCCGGGTTCATAAATCTAGAATATCATTTACTTTAGTTTCACTACAAAAACTCTTGAGAAAAGCAGAATGACAATAAGGTCAGTTTTGTTACAAGACCACTTGTTAGGATGCAACAAATAGGCACCAAGAGAAAAAATTCTCAATCAATTATAGGACAAATATGGAACCATACCTTACATTGTTAGCAAAGGGACGTTATTTCAATACCCACTTTTTATCCTTATAATTCTGTTCGGAGTACTTTACTCTTCAGCTATCACATACAGCTACTTCTCTCACTTTAGTACATATCGTGATAATTTCATCTCTCTGTGCTGATGTAGTGTAGCAACTTGAAGCGATGCACATTTGTATTAGGCTCTATACTGATTATAAGTGGTGACTGACTGTCTGGGACTCTATCTGACTCAGATTAGTAATTATGGCTCAAAAAGTTTGTCACAAGTTCGCCAACTTGTCTACGTTTTTACACGACACAAGGCTTGATCTTAAGATTGCTTACCAGGTAATTCTTGCGAAATCTATCAGCTCACCGAAGAAAATTGTGTTAGCATATCTCATATCTTACACCGTAACAACCATGCTTTAGTTCTAGATTCACAAGTTTGCAGCTTAATTTACGTTTAAAAAAGCATTTGGATATCCTCACTGTACTGTTAATATTGTAGGTTTACAAAAGCTAGTCGTTTTATCTCCATGTCCAAGTTCATTTTGATTCATTAAAAGTTTCTGTCATGAACTAACAGAAGCCGAAAACTCTTGTAAAGCTATTTTGGGACTGCTTACCCCCAACCCTAACTTCAGTCACCAATCTTATAAATCTACAATCTTCACTATCTCTGGGGCGTAATGCATAACAAATTTCAGACATTTTTATATATTTAACAAAATTTGTGTCGTGTCATTTTCTTCTCAGTGTACTTGTAGTTCTTTGGAGGATATCTTGGCGAAAGCCCTGTATAAAAAGTTGAAAAAAGGAAACCCCAAAGATAAATCCACGAGAAGCTACCCGTAAACCATCATCTATAGAAACCTCCCCAGACAGTACTTAGCAGTAAACGTTCATACCTTAGGGGGTGTTCGAGTAAATACCATTGTGTGATGTAATTTGTTTGTTTCGTACTTTCAAGCGAAGAATCATCGGTTAGTAGAAGTAATCGCTGTTTTATAGCCTTACAGACCGTGGTTTTAGTTGTTAACCCAAGATTTGCCTGTTTCTCCTAGTTTTGCTTTCTCCGAATCATCATCATTTTTCGAATTTGAGTATAACGTTTTTTAGTCTCTATTGCTCGAAACCATTGGGAGGTATTTATACCTAATTCACACCGCTCAGCTAAAGTAAATTAATTATAGCTGTTAAGTTTCAGTCTCTTACAACTTGTATTATTGCTCTTTGTCCCTTTTCAGAATTGGGATAGTCTTCTCGACTTTGGTCTTAGCTTTTATCTGCAATGGTCCTTGGAGTTAGTCTTTCTGGAGACGGTTTTAAATGAATCTTGATAACTGGCTATTATTAATTATCACTAGTACATTTCGCTCATATTAATTTAGTAATAGTTTGCACTATTTGCAGTTGTCACCTCGCCTCTTCATCGCGTTTGAACTATTGTTACCTAAAATCAGTTTTTCGGAAGAAGTAACTAACACAGACCATGTCATACATTCACTTGTGTACAGATGTCTACCTCTGTCTGTTCACTAAATTACATTTGATATCAAGTTACATTAGGAGACGTTTAGCTGCCATACTTGGGCAACCGTCAAAGTAGCCATTTCTTAGATATGTATGCGCGTTACTTTCGTATAAATCTGGTGAAAAACGTAGTAACGTGGATAATTTTGTAAGATTCAGTATTCTGTAACAACTTTTTGTTTAATCAGTCAATTAAAATTAGGGTTAATATTGTTATTTGCTCATCAGCTATGTAAGTTACAATATGCAGTCTACCATTTTCTGCTAGTTGAACTGTTTTCTTCAATATAAAAGTGAATTACTATTTCAATAAATTTGGATCGAGTTTAATAGAATTTACTTTCACATCTATGAAAAAGTTTTATTTATATTTTTTCGTTTCAGTGATTCGAAAAGTCCAGTTGGATCGAGTTTACCATCTGATAGTGAAAGTTCGGACCTATCAACTGAACCACAAAATAACCCCGATGAAGCTCGAAGATTTACAAAACCTTCACCGGATGAACTTTCTGAGATTTCAGATTTTAAGTCAGACTCCCCTAATCGTGGTCGTTTATCACTTGTAGAAACTTCACACTTTGAATCTACGCGGAACAGAAATTCCAATGATTCACTTTCTTCACCTATTTCTTCACAACCAGAGGTAATGATTTTTTAAATGCCTAAATTGTAACTTGTCGGCCAAGTTGTATACTGTGTATACATTTGCTCTGCATGTTTACCTTCTAGTGTTGTGTACAGTGTTTATTTATAAATCTAAAATACCTTTTATTCTATTTCATTATGATTATGTTACAGTTGACTGGTGATATTTTAGTGAAAGTAGAGAAAATCACCTGCAATTATTAGAAAGAACTGAAACGATCTATCCACTTAACATTTGCCACCGTTTAATGATTTAGGTTAGTCATCTTACATCATCCCATACCCTTCGATGTAAGTGTTCGCAACCTTCATGAATTAGATTTTTTTTTGTTCTAGCACCAGAGTCTGTACACGTTGCTAAGTTTGATTCCTAAAGTAGCTTATATTAATAGTTGATTTTGTACTTAGTTAACCATCATAAAAATGGGGGGGACTTGGTTACTGTTTCTTCCTTCAAATATATATATCATTATTGCACTTTGATAAACTTATAATTTTTTGAGTTATAATGGGTGAACGCAGACCAGTATGTGTCACATCTGTAAGCTAATTATATTTTGTTGGGCTTCAGGTTAATTTAAAGAACGCTAAATATTTCCATTATGGTTTAATTTTGATAAGCTAGTCACTATGATCAGTTTTCTCTGATGGTGATATTTACCTAAAATAATGACTTTTTAAAAATCTTCCATCCCATTACTGAATATATTAATTCAGAAATTTCGAAAGCTATGGAAAGTAGTTATATACATTTTGTATCTGATCTGCCAGAATGCAATTATCAGCATTCTTTGTTCAATTTTTTTCATTGTCAAACATGCCTAATAAACCTTTTCATTAGGATAAGACAATTTTCATCGTAATTTTTCAAGTGAAATGGGATGGTTTCTTAGTGGATAATTGTTTAATTAGTTCAGATGTCATTCTGCATTGATTGCTACTCTGCAAGATTATGTAAATGTCAAGATATTTTTTCGACTACTCTAAAGAAATATGAATAAATAATGACAAACTGATGAGAACTTAGTCATTATTTAAAACTACCAACCACTCATTAAATTCCGGTCATAAATATCTTGGTTACTACTGATTTGTTAATTTTTACTTTATGTATGATGACTTGATTGTTTTATGTGTAGTGTATTGTGACGGTATTTGTAATAATTCCTTATTGAATCAAGTTATGAAACATATTGAAAGTGCAATATTTACCCTTTAAGATCTTTTGTTTCAGAGTGCATTGGATTCCGAAGAAAATGAAGATACAGAGCTAACGGTCGTTGGTAAAATCCACAAACCTGAGAAATGTACTGCCTTCCAACGATCACCTGTCTCCAAACCTGTTTGTCCTATTCAAGAAGTTCAACGCAGAAGAGTTCGACCACGAAAGAACAACCAATTGTCACCTAAATATTCATCTAATTTCAGTCCACAAAAAGAGACATCTGGTTTTGAAGACTCTTTGGTTTCTACAGAATCTAGTTCTGAAGACGATATGTTTAAGACAAATGATGATAGTTCTCGCGTAAGCATATATTTGATTATACAGATATTGACTAGAAAAAATCTAGCAATCAGTTGTACACTCAGTTTATACATTGACATTACTTATGAATATTGAAGTTTAATGGGAAACTATGATATTGTTCATGTGTTTATTGTGTATATAAAAATGTATTGTCAGATGTGTTGATTGTATTAACTCCTAAAGCTGGATTTAATTTTTCATCCTACAAATAAATTGTTGCGTTGTGTCATCATGTCTAACTGATCTTATGTCTGTCAGATCGTATTTTAGATTATATGTACCATGGGTAAAAGTATTTAAGTTATTAGTCACTATGTGAATTTTCAAAAGTTAGTTCACAACTATATTTTCCAATAGTCTTATGTGTTCATCTATTTTTTGAATTAATATTCTAATATTGGATGACCTTATACGATATTTTTCTTACTTAAAGGATTTCTCTACTTGTGATAATATTCCTTCAAAAGTTAACCAAGTGAATCCTCAATCAAACACCGATTGGTCTATATTACGTGCATCTTTGGAGTTCCAATCTTCAGATTTTCCTACTATTCCTTTGACATACAACTCTCAACCATCTGGAGGTTCGCGTAGAAAACAGAATCTTGGTGGCTTATGCAGAAACAATATGGCCTTGTCAACTATTGATCAAAAAAATAAATGTACATCATTTCCAGACACTGATATTCCTCAGAAAATGAGTTTGATCTCTGATCAGAAACTCCATAGATATCCTTTATACCATTCTCCAGGATTTCCTGTATCAGTGAGCGTAAACTTTAGTTATTCCAAACTCTTGTTTTAAATTTAAATCCCATGTACTTGTACTTTAAGAAGCCTAACGAACCAACGTATTTTGTGTTGAAGTTTGGCAATTGGAATTTCCACTCACTTATCTGCCGAACGTTATTCGTGATTTCATATTTCCTTTAGCTAATGAGCCTCAATCAGGTTTTTTAATCTTTCCTCAAGTTTGAACTGTACACCGCATACCATTTTTTTCGCGAAATGTCTAGTTTGTCAGTGTAACTATTAGCCTAGTGCAACCGATATACCTACGTGAATTCACACATGTTTGATGCGCAATATATATAATCCCATATATAGGATAGTTATCTAATTCTTGCCTCGTCATTTTGGTAAAAATTACAAATTCATCTTATACATATTTTTAGCTATTATGTTTCGGTTTTATCGTATATGGTGTATTTTCTGAACTCGATCATGCTCTGTAAATTATAAGAGCGTTTGTACGATTATTTACCGTAATTCTTCCTTTGGAAATCTGTTGTAGTGGATTTTTTGTTTATCTAATTTGTTAACATGTGATTTAAAAAGACGTTCGGTTGAATAATTTTAGTCAAAGTGGACTCTTAAGATGTAGAGTGGTAGAAATTTATGGTCTGTTGATTCGTGTTCCTGTACATAAACCAATGAACAGGAGATTTATGGAAACCTTTTATATAATTTATGTGTATTGTATGTTCCAGTTATGTTCTGTAATTTTACGTGCAAATATTTGTGTAACTTACAAATAAGTCTTTGGTATATATTTTGCCGTTTTGTTCACTTCAGTCAAGGGATCGTGATAATTTGAAGCTATCTGAAAAAAATATAAAGTCGGATGATTTAGATGGAGATAGTACGGATAGTGCTTCAATGGAATCTGTAGATATTGTGGAAGTAAGTAAACTGGCATTTTGTTGCTTATGTTAAAATTTCTAGACTGTGGAGTGTAAATATATGTGGCCTGAACCCCTCCTTACCGATCATAATTATTTTCGTGTTCCTGAAATTGGATCTGTCATTCATTATCGATCTACTAGGAAAGTAACTAAACACAATTTAAAGTCAAAGGATAGTTTCGTCGACAGTAATTTGACCACGGCGGACAATTTACGAAAACGCTCTTGGCCAACAGACCCTACGTACATTAGTGGCGGCGTCAGTGATGATGATTCCCATGATTCTTCTAAGTGGTTCAAACTGTCGAAGCGTTCGAATGTTTCAGAGTTAAGAAATGAAGAGGTTACTGGAAGTTGTAAAGCTGACTTAAAAGCAAATCAGCTTTTGACAGAGGAGAATAAGAAGCCAAAATATATTGAAGCGAAACCTGAAACTTCGAAAGTTCGTGGGTCACGTGAACTGGCCAGTCTTTTAGCACCAGTACCTAAATCCGAAATTCGTCGTGTTATGGAAGAATCTTGCGGTCTACTGAAAGAAGACATTTACAAACGTATGTCTGGAGAGCGAGGTTTTTCTCGATCACAACCACATTTTCAACCAAGGTCGGCATCTGAAGAAGATTACGTAAGTATACTTTATCCATTTGTAGTTTCTTTACCTAATAAGTACGTTGAAGTTAGATTTCTTTTGATGCTAAAAGCGATGACCAATTATGAAGATATATATGCACTGGAATTGTCAAGGATGGGAAGAATCCACTTTTCCTCTTGAAATGCTATCATATAACTGTGAGTCCAGATTATCAGGATACCCCTGCTCGTTGCTTCTACGAAGCGGGGTTCCAAATAACGTGAGAGCAAAAACCGGATCGATACGCACTGCATGCTTGTCGAAGGCAGTTGCAAAACCCTAATTCGAAACTAACTGTGCAAGTGACCTCGAAAGTCCAAAGGCGTGAGTAGCTTATATGGTTATTTGGTCAACATTTAATATGGGATTCCATATCACGTGTATCAGGGACATCACACATTTCTATGATGAAGTTAAACAAAAATGGAGAAAGTGGACAGCCTTGACAGACACCACTTGAGGTTACAAAAGCAGATGACAGTTCGCCATAAGCTATGACTCAACTTGTAATGTTTAAGTAAAGAACCTTCACAAGGTTTATGTGATTTTGAGGTATACCTTTCAATGACAGACAATGCCACAGAATCTCGCGGTCTACCGAGTCAAACGTTGCTTTTAAGTCAAGAATGACCACCATTGTCGGACGCCGATAAGTATGCCTATGTTCTAGAACCTAACGAATGGTGAATATATGGTCGATGCAGCCAAGACCAGGTCTGAATCCAGCCTGATTTTCTCGTGTTTGCAGTTTACGAGTCTTAGTTAGGTGTCCTATAATTATCGAGGCTGGTATTTTAGATACTATATTAGTTAAACTAATCCCTCTATGGTTGTCACAGGATGATTTTGACCCTCTCTTATATATTGCGATGATAAATGATTGTGACCAGTTAGATGGGATAACGTCGAACTCCCAGATTTTAGCTAAAATACTAGTCAACCTAATAGCTAAAATTGGACCACCATCCTTAAAGACCTCTGGAGCCAATCCATCCGGACCAGCTGCCTTTCCTCGTTTCAGATTAACTATAGCCTTTTGAACTTCAGCTAGAGTTGGTGGGCCTACTTCAATGTTCCATTCACGCTGTTTGGGAACGGAGGGTAGTTGTAGAGTAGCTGAAGGCCAGCTGAACTGTTCTCTAAAATGTTCCGTCCATCGTTCTAAACGTCTGGACTGGGAGCAGATGAGAGTATCGTCTTTTTCCGAAATAATCTGACTTACATTTGACTTATTAATTCCAGTTTCTTTTATTAGTCCGTAGAGCTGTCTTGTGTTCCCTATAGCCGCTGCCTTTTCCATCTCTTTTGCTTTCGTTGCCCACCACTACTCACAGTCGTTCCTTAGACCTTTGCTTAACCTAGATCTGATTTGTTTGCGCTCTTCATCGTGTTGAAAACCTGATGGGATGAGTTTACGAGAATCCATCAGTGCAATAGACCTTGAGGAAATCAACTGGTTCTTTGTAACCCTGTGATTTAAATCACTATTAGATGTCTCTGCTGTCTCCACAGCTGTTTGTATATGTTTCCAAGCAACATCTGGGTCGGCCTCGTTTTCAGAACTACCTAAGTGTGACCTCAATTGTTCCTGGAACCTAATTTCGGTTTTCTCATTACTCAATTCAATTCTAATGGGTCTTTTTAGTGTGGCATTTCTACGTCCGGTGAGGCGCAAGCAGGTGCGTGCCCGTATTAGGGCATTGCCAGAGTCCAAGCAGGTACTCCAGAATGAGCGACAATCTTCTACCGACCCTCTCCAACAATGACTGATGACAATATGGCCTATTTGAGTCCATCGTTGGTTTAGTGTAGGGGGTCTCCATGTTAGACGATCTCTCTCCTTATGCTTAAAATTTGTGTTTGCTAAAAATAAAGGATTGTCTGAGCACAGTTGCAGCAGACGATCACCATTATCTGTTCGTTGTGCTGAAATACTAAAATACCCACCTAAATGCCTTTCTGTATGGTTTAAACTACCTATCTGGGCATTAAAGTCACCTGCTACGAGTACTCTGTGTGAGCGTTTAGCTTTCTGAAGAAGTTCAGAGAGCTTTCTGTAAAATTCATCTTTCACTTCATCCGAGCTGCAGTTAGTGGGAGCGTAGGCAAAAACGACGAAAAGGCATCGACCTGTGCCCCCATACTTCCGAGTTCTTACGGAGCCGTTCAGCCGAACAGCACATAGGGGACTGTTAACGGTGATCCATTATAATAGTGCTTGTTCCACCCTCGTAGTTAGTGCTATGTCTACCAGTCCACTAAAACTAGCCATCGGGTCACCAGGTACACGGAGGGTGTATCTCGTCGGCCCTCCGTTTTGCCGAGGTGAGGTCAAGTGAATGACCACACTAGGATCCTGTATGCACGTTTCGGATACATCGCATACTTTAATGGTACAAGATTCTAGAGATCTAGTCAAGGAGGCCTGCTGACCGATTTGACATAGGGTGCGTACGTTGAAGGCCCCAATATGTAGTGTGGAGAGAGGTTTCAGTAGACCTGAGACAGTGTTTTGCGTGCTAGAATCGTTGGCTATGGTGACACTTGAGGAGGATGTTTAGAGTTTGAAGTTGATGTAGGAAGAATAATAGGAATTGAAGAGGGAGGTTGATTATGAATACAGTGGTCTTGAGTGCTGTTAGAGGTATGAGGGCGATTATCACTTCCCTGTTGAACACACCGTGGAAGGGTTCTTCTGGAGGTACCTGATCAGAAAATTGGATTAGAGGTGGTCTTAATGACCTGAGAGCTTGACCGCAGTACCCAGAGCACAACTGCTTGATGTCTGTCACACACGATCTTTCCATGAGTAATTTTTGTGTTAGCTCCGTAGTTGTTGAGACCCTACCGATGGAGACGGATATCCGTGGGATAAGGCGAGATATGCATTTTTAGGGTCGACATTTTCTAACCCCACCCCTCGTTATGGGAAGGCAGCACCGCTGTTATGCTGGTTGTCTGAAGGAAACCTTTTACTGCTGTCACACCTCTGTAAAGTCAGCAGTACGACTTCGTCTTCGGACCTTGGGTTTGTTGCTTTCAGTCTTACCGCTCTTCAACCGACCTGTCTGACGTGGTAGGACCTTGAGTAACGGTTTTTCCAGTCAGTATAGCTCAGTTGCTTCATCAAGATAGGCAAGCTCGACCACCAAGTCAAGGTAGCAACAACGGACGACTACTTGGTTGGGGTCCACGTGACTATCGTAACACTCTCTGTCTTCCCTTTAACTAAGAGATTACAATCACTTCATGTCTTTCTGCGAACTAATTCTTTCTTCCTGTACTATATCCTTATTACAATCTTTCTTTTATATCTTACCACGACTGAATTAACTACTTCTATGAATCCGGTGTTCATCTTGTGCTAATGCGGTATGACAACTTGAACCGATCCATATATGTGCCTGGTCCTACGTTGTAGCTGACTGACTGACTGATCACACATTTCATGATAATTATGGAGAAAACGAAGAATATGCACTGTTTGCTTTACACGCTACAACTTAGAAGTGCTAACAATTTATAGTTCTTTTATTCTAAAAACATTCATTTTTATACTACTTTGAATATCTGCGCCTCTTTTTCTACTGTAGTCGATTTTTCTTCTTAAGTTAGTTTTCAATAATTTTCAGAAGCTATGTGAAAGTTTTTATGCATAGTGTTTAAAGTCGCCAGATAGTTGTTCTTTAGATACTTACTGAGTTTGATATCACTTTTTGCTGTTTGAGCTTGTTACCATTCATGTTTGCTGTATCCTTATTCGTAATTCATTCTCGACCTGTTACTTCGTTAAGTACTTTTTATGCGCGATTGTCTGAGCACCCCATTTTATTATGATTGGACCGTTTTGGCGTTGATCTTAAACTAAATGCATGGGATGAAGAAATAATAAACCAATAGAGCTTCATTACTGGTCGTTTATGTACTTCGAAGATAAAAGTCTAAATCAAATATTAACTAATTGAGATAGGAAACAATGTCTGTTTTATTTCCACTTATGTTTCAACTATCATCACAAAGACTGAATCAGGAGTGAGTTCTGCCACATTTTGAATAGCTTCAACTAACCATCTTTCAGTCAAGTACCGTTGGCATTTCCACATTTTTCGACATCTGTTTGGATCAAACTTGCCGAAAGTGGTCAACAAATTTATCCTAAACAACTCGGCCAATTTTTAGAATCTACGTTTTCCGTCAAATATCTAACCGATCTGAGTTATAGGTTAGGTTCCCAGCTACCGGGAGACGAGACGTAAGTGAGCGTTTTGTGCTTTGGAAGGATGAGCGAAGTCTTCTTCCTCTTGTGAATACTACGTTTTTTTGGTTTCTTACAATTTGTGGCCAATGAAGTTCAAAACCTGATTCATATAATGAATATGGTTTCACTAGCATACGGTAAAATGCTTTGTATCAGCATATTGTCTAACTGTCATTCTGAATTTATTAACTATCGACGGCTTGTGATTGGTCGTTGTACTCGTTTCGGTTTACACATGAGTCAATCTCATTGGTTCTGAATTTCGCATCGGTAAATTTTGGTCTATCGTGTTAACCCTCGTAATAAGTTACACTAGACTTATTAGCTCAAATAATTCTTGTGTTCTCTGATCCTATGTTGACTGACTGTAAATGTATATCTAGTTAACGGTCGTCAGTGACCTAGTTCATAGCTCAATAACAGTGCAGGTTCGATTTCGAAACCACATCGATTTATCTAAATTCCGTCATAAATGATAGTTTATAGTATCCGTATTTCAGACTATTTCGTAGTATCAATAAAAAATCCTTTTCCCTAAATATCCTATTTCCTGTACATATGACTTCGTTATTTTTATGTATTCTTTTTGGATTGTTTTCTTCACAGATCCTGAGGAGTATTCTCGTTTTTGGTATAGATGCAGAAGATCTTAGTTTTATGTGTGAAGCCTATCAGTTTCTGCTAAGCAAATGCCATTCACCATTAGATGTCACTACATATGATAATTTCAAACAAGACAATTTTTATATGAACGCTAAAGTCGTTGATCCTCGTGTTGTAAATATTATAAGCCTTTCACATTGGGTTGAGCATCCGCCTACCCTTGCCGCTGATCCCATTACTGTCAAAACACACGTTAATGGTAGTGGACATCTTGTTAATTCACGCAATTTGTGGTCAGGTCGACAGAAGCATGAGCGTCAACGATATCAATACAAATTTCTGTGTTCTAAGAATTCCACATCCAAATTATCTTCTGTTCACCATAAATCCTTTGCAAGATCATCTGATTCAGATGACCTTTATTCCTCTTTATCTGATCAATCACTAAATCACTCTTCTGATGAAAAATACAAAAAGGATTTGAGCAACAGCTCAGTATGTAAAAAGGAATGTTCTCCCATTTACTCACCTGTAAATACTTCATATAATCATAAACTAAGACTCTCCTGGCCTAAGTTTGACGACCAAATACTGGCGGTAGCGAATTATGCTGCTTCTTTAAATGAGAATGTTGATACAGTTGGAGATAGTGTTGATATTCACCTTGGTCCTGCAGCCTGTTTACCGCCAATCCATTCATCAGGTAATCGTTACTCTTAATCCGTTAATTACCTGTAGAATTTATAACATTAAAGATAAATGATTATTTTAAACATCTAATTAGGATATTCGAATAATCATTTTTTAGAGTAACATTCACTGAGAGAAATGCATAAATATTACCAAGTTTTCGTTTCATGATTTCTAAGTTTTACAGACTGGAATACAAACTAGGATTGCGATATCCAATGTTATAAAGCTTGCACTAATTATCAAGAATCTGAGGTGATAGTTCACTTTCTCATTTTAACTAATAAATAAGAATACTGTATGATTATTTTAAATAATCATGTTGTATAAAGTCTGTTTCATAAGGTTTTTTATCGTACGTTATCTACTTTGAATGAAATATGTAGTTGATAACTTATGCCAGTCAAACGTAGCACTCAACTAATACACTTATTTTAATGAGATGAATTTTAATTTTAGTTTTCATCTTATAATCTGTTTGTAGTAATAAAATACTATATTTAGCATTAGTGGGTAAATTGGCAAGCGACCTATTTTTGTAATCGTCGCTGTTTAAACCAGTATAAATTAGTAGGTTTTAAGTCGTCATAGAGTTATTCACGAATAAATCTCACCAAATATGGATCACAGTCCATAATGAAATCTAAGTAATCAGTACACCTTTATGACTGTTTTTTAGTCTGTCTTTGGTTCGGTGCTGTCATACACGCCCATAAAAATTCCAACATTATGATAGCAAATTATTTTGCTTTGTTTGTCCCATATAGCTGTGTACGGTCTTGACTTTTTCTTGCTTACTACAGGGTCAGCTCGAACACAGGGTTATTACCGAATGCCTACTGAAGAAAGATTTCGACGTCCTTGGTGTGTCGGTCGGAGTTTAATTGGAGAAGACGGTCGTCGTCGCCCTATTCCCTTAATGCCTGCAACTGTGCAAGCACAGCTTGGAGGTGATGCAGCATTACAAGGTACCCATCGTTCTTTATCAATTTTTATATACATTTTTCATTTACAGAGATATCATTCCATGGTGAAAAACTATGTAATCGGAGGTTCCCTTAGTTAAACCTTCAGACTCTTGTATTTGCGAAATAACACAATCTATACATTAAAGCACTTGATAAATACAGTTCAGTAAGTAGATCTGAAGAGGTTTCAAATCCTATATAAAGGAGAACGATCCATCAGTTTTGAGTACTCCTCATCATTAATTAACATAGTCTGGACAAATATTAGGAGCCAAAAGTCACCAAACCATCCTTTCATCCCAATTATTAATTCTTCTGGGTTATTATATCTCCATTCTCTTTTCTTTTTTAATACGGACTCGAACCGAACATACTGATAGTCATCTCTTTTATAAGATGATTACCCAATAAGCCTTAGACGTACATTTCTTTTACGTCAACATTTTTACGACGTAATTGTCGTTCACCTGCAAGTTTTAACAATTTATTTAGGGTTCATCTCACTTATATTATATATTACTCAAGTCATGTCACTTCATGCATTATATGGTTCTTTGATGAAACATTTATTTTGGTTATGTTTTTATTTATCGCACTATCTGATATTTGTATGTATTTCTATTGTTAGTTTAGCAATTTCCCTTAATCTTCAACTCGATTCAAGTATACACTATATGCAATTCATTTCAGCGTTAACAAATACTTATTAACTTATTTTGCTAGACGTCGTTCACATATTGTAAACCAGACAGTCTTATTTTTTCCTTGTAGCTCACAGAATCTTGTTCTTCAGTTGTCAGTTTACAGTAATACCTTGAATTTCGCTTTCGTAAGAACCATCTACTTACATTTCACTATAGGTCTTTAGTGCTACTTTATTTAGAAAAATGTACAAGGGATTTTTCAAACTTTTCTAATATTTCCTTAAGGACTCTGTCGATTTTATTTTTCAAGTCTAATAACTGTTTTCTTACTCATTCAATTCTCGGAGGTAGGTCACTAATGGGTGTAAGGATCTACTTCAGTACGTTTGTGCTCTATGGCAAGGTCTGATTCTGAGTTAAACCTAGTGGGAAAGACATATGTAAATTAAGGTCCTGCTTTTTTGTCACAAATTATTTGATAAAATCTATTTAAACATTTAGGGAACTTACATTTCCTGTTTTCCTTTACTTTGGCATTTCTGTACATAGAATTTATTAAAAATTTCTTAGTAGTATATCCAAAATCCGTTAATGTTTTGAATGTTTTCATTTTAATAATTAGTTCATATGTCCAGTTGACTTTATAATGATGGTTGGGGAGTATTCACTAATATTTCTCATTAATTTTTGCAACCGTTACAACAAAAAAATTATGCTCGACTTTAAGTGAATATATATCTGAGTCACAAACGCAGTTTTGTGTTTACTTTTCTAATTAATTAATTATTATTCGGGGTACTAAGTGTGTATATTTCAGTAAAAATTATTGTTTCATTCATGAAATCATAAATAATATGGCCATATTCAAATCTGAACAAAGTTTAGTTAAAGAAACAATCATCAATCATAACTTATCACATTTAGATCAGTAAATATTACTTATTAACTAAAGTAGTCCTTAGTTCATCATGTCATTACTTTAGACAATTTGCTTATTACCTGCCTTGTTTTCACGATCACAACACATACAACATATGTATTTGCTCTTCATGTATGTCTAGATCGAATAACCTATGCAACTTTAACAAGAAATATTCTTTGTGTGTACGTTTTCTAAGACATTTTTTTTACCACAGTTTACTTTTCAACAGACCAATCAGATAATTTGACCTTCGACAAACTAGAGCTTTCCTATTGGTTATAGGTAGTTCTTTAATTTATAACCAGTAATAATCACATCATTATGAATAGTGCGTAGGTGGGTGACAATCTATAAAGGTCGTAAGCGGAGAATCTATATGAAGAATTATCGACCCTATTAAAATCAATTTTCAACCAGTGGTTTAGGTCACATAGCCTTTAAGGTCTTTTTTTCTCACCTATTGAGTATTAAACTGCATCCATTTATTCAAAAGCTAGTCTGTTTCTTCTGTGTCGACGCAACTTTGTATATAGAGCATTTTTTCTTGGGAGAGAACCGTGATTTTAGCCAGTGTAGCAACAATAAAGTGTTTGTTAACTGATAAGTTTAAAATTTCCTGCTTACGGTTAAAAACTATTACGGTCAAATTGGTATCTATGCTCTCATTCATGCATTTTAGGTAATATTGCAATTATGTTGTGTATTATTAGTATTCTTTTCCTCTTTTGATTATTTGTGTGTTTATAATGTCAGTAGTTATTGATACATTCTCTAATTTTCCACTGGATAACTTTCATAATTTTCTAAGTAGTTTACGTAATTACTGTTAGTCTTCAGCATCGATTGATATTAACTTACCTTAGTAGTAAAATGCACTGTTCTGTAACTTGCACTTCCGATATAAATAAAACAGATAGTTCAAGAGGAAGAATGTATTTGTAAAAAAAACAGACAGTTGTTAGTTCAGTCTGTGATCCGAATTGTTTTATCTGTTTACTTACTTTCTACGTATTGAAATAATGATTTTTGTTTCATCACTTATCCTTCCTTTTCTCCCTGCATCCTTGTTTACTCTTTTCTTCATTTCGAAGTGTATCAGGTCGAACTTATTCACTTTTAAAATGAGGAACTTTGATTGATATGTCTCCTTACAAAACTTATAATCATTCAGAATTTTCGTCTATGTCAACAGCATTTCCGATGTGATAGTGAACGTTCATAAAGAAAATTTGATTCATTCGATTCATTCTACCAGTATTCAGTTAAATGATATATCAGTAAAATATTTTGTTTTTCGGACATGGTATATATCTAAATCGTGTTCTAGCATGTCTTATTATATGCTCATTATTTCAATAGAGTGATAAATAGGTCATGAGCGTTGTATTGGTTCCTTTTAACTTTCCACGCGTTTTTAGACTGAAAACTAGGGGAAAGTAGTGACAATTATTGTAGGGCGACTCTTCTGATTGCTAAAACTAGGAAAATTAAAGCAAAGTAAGATCAACTTGTGTAAGAACGAAAAAAATACATGTGAGATAATACTATGTGATAGAGCTACCCAAAATTTTGTACACCGTTAATAGTGCCTATATTTACATCGCTTCAACTGTTTTAAACCATACAAAACTTAATCATTGATTTTAGGTCCCTTCAAACTTATCTACTGTTTCCTTTATCTAATACAGTGTTGGTTGTATTAGTACGATTTTTTTTATCAAATCACTTTTCTGGAGATCATAGTATCCTTTTATCTGTATGATAGGTCATAGTTAGAACTGAATCTCAATTCATCTTATGAACCATATTTATATCAAATCGTATTTTCTATTTTTGTAAATTCTTATTCATTAAGCTATTGGCGAGAATATTGAGGAACGTTTAACCGAACAAGCATCTGAAGCCAAGAAAAAACAACTCACTCAATTTCGAGAGGCTCGGTCTGTTCAACGTCGATTGTTAGCTGAATTTCAAGATATTGAAACTGGCGACTTGCTTAAATTTAATCAGTTAAAGGTAATGTTATTCTGTGACCATTGAGTTCTTTATACTAAACACTTCAATTTACTGGTGCTCATTAAAATGTTTTTGTTCGATGATCTCTTAGTTTTTCTTTTGTTTATTGACCACTTATTTTCTGCCTGATAAAAAGACTTTTAAATTTAAATCTAGTAAAATAGGCAAATATTTCAAGTTTCTTATATGTGTATCCTTCGCTCTCGTGCATTAATTACTTCTACAGTACTCAGTTATCGTCGGAATCTGTTATTGTAAATTTATTTTTCATGCTGTTCCGCTTCATATTTCAGTTTCGTAAAAAGCAGCTCATATTCGCCAAATCGCCTATCCATGCATGGGGCTTGATAGCTTTGGAACCGATAGCTGCCGAAGAAATGGTGATTGAATATGTTGGTCATGTGGTTCGTAAGGGTGTCGCTGAACTACGTGAACGTCAATATGAAGCCAAAGGAATCGGTGGCTCTTATCTTTTCCGAATTGATGATGAGTTTGTAATTGATGCCACAATGTGCGGCAACAATGCTCGGTTTATCAACCACAGTTGTCAGGTATGCTTGATATGAAGATTAGGTTATTTTACCCACTACTTATTTATAAAATGTCATAACTGGTTTATGTAGAGATATTCAATACTGTTTGTTTACGTTTAATGTAACTGTATATTCTATCATGTTAATTGTTAACAAAGTAATCGACACTGGCTAAATTTTTCACATTCGTCTTCTGATGAATCGTATAGTGCATATACATAAACGTACTATCCCAGTGTAGTGATCATCAATAAAAATTTGGAATCAAATACTCAGTACATTCTTTTACTGATGTATCTGTCAGGATAGCGATTAAGTTTTGTTGTTCTGCCTACTCATATACTACTCGAGGAATTGTGCGATATATGAGTGATATTTTCTTTTGACTGTTCCAATGTTTTGTTTTTGAAATCCCGAACAAGTTATACTGAATTATTTTATTGTGATCACTATACATGCCCACTCGAACGTTGGGAAGCCTTATTTGGTTAATAAGACATTTTCTGTTGTGTATTTCCACAATAACATGTTTTACTTTTTTATTGTATAGTTTATTTAGTATGTAGGAGCGCTCATTTTCAAATTCCAGTTCATCTTACAATTCAATCTTATAAATATATGTTTTGAAACTTAATAGAAAATTATTTGCCATTTTCTAGATTGGCTATTTAATGACTAGACTTTATATGATGATTCATCCTCTAACACTGATGTTATTTTTTTGAATATTGACATAGTCTAATACTCATTTTATGTAATATGGGATTCACTATTTCTCATAAACTTGTCTTGCTTTCTCTTTATTTTCTATGGTTATTCGTCTGTTTAGTGTTTTCAGTTACTTCAACATTGACTAAATAAATAAAATAACATAGGGTTTACCGTACGTATTTCGCTTCCAAACGGTACTGTAACATTATTAATAGAAATTAGAAGTTCCCAAAATATATCTTGAAAAGCAGTGTAGTGGTACAGTAAATAAATTATTTGAAATAACGAAGACATTAAGAATAGATGAATTCGCACGGTTTATGTTGTTTTCCAATCTATCCATACTCTGAATTCATCGGTTTATATTCTTTTACTAGACAGTAGTTAAAAAACTGTATCATGTCCTAGAGTGAAAAATCGATTAATTCATTATAATGTAACCATATGCCCTATAGTTAAACTTTAGTTTTAGTCTGGCAAATACTGTACATAGACGTTTTGTGCTAGTAAAAGTGCATCATATCTGTTTCGAATATCTTGTGTAATACCTGTTTTGTTACCCTTTTGTTAGGGATGTTAGATCCCTAGAACTCACTTGGTAAATGCCTTATTTTTTCAATTATATTTTAAGAATTTCAATTTCTTGTTCTCGCACCAGAAGCACCCATTCTCACCTTCATGTCCTATTTCCCACTTGGGAGAACCTTAAATGATATTGCTTCGTTGTCTCTTTTAGTATGCTATTTTGTACCGCTTCCCAAGGACATTTTTGTGCTGTATATATACGCTTGCGTTGTGCTTATTGTTGTTGTTCGTGCTTCTGGGTGCTTGTGGAATACATTCCCCTCTTTCAAACTTGGACTTCTCTCTCTAGTTAGCGGGGCAGCAGCGCGTCGGAATAGCTCGTTCCGTTCGCAAATTAGGTGAACTCGTAATTTCTCAGCATCTTATGTAAAGTATCTTTCGTTCAGTGATTTCGTCATATATGATATAAATGACTTTTTTTCAACTTTTATTGATGAGATAATAATGGTCTAGGTTCACTTTCTCTGGTTGATTCGAAAGGTCATGTTTTCAAATGCTCTGGAAGTCATATTTCTAGCTGCTTCTATTGAAAATTCATGTCAACATAAATTAATTGATAGTTTAACGCACGACTCACAAGAACTGGTTAAAAGCTTCCTTGAAGTTGACTGCAATCACCCAACTAACAATATTTTTCACTACCAACACTTTACTACATATTGTCTAGTATATTGGAATTATAAAAGCTAATTTTTCAATTCTTAAGACTTTTAAATATTTTGTTCATTTATGTGACTAATGTTTGTTCTAAATATTAAGATGACACATTTGTATTGAGTAATTTCTTGCCTTATCCTTGTACAACTGAAGGTAAAATTGGTGCTTACATTTAACTTTTTTAATAGTACTTTTAAGGTGAATATTATCATTTACGGATATCACTCATTCAGCAACAAAATAGTCATTTAACTATTTTCTCTGTTATCAAGAATGCTAAATATTGGGTCATTTACAGTGCAGATGTAGTCATCTTTATAAATAACTGAAATCGATAAATCTGAGTTTATAAATATCCAAATCAATTTCATATTCAACCGTTCGGGGGGGGGGCGGAACTCGCACCGTGATGGTTACTGATATCGATTGTGTTTCTTTTTTAATATGAAACAAAACAAGCTTTTTGTGTTTTGCTAGGCAATTTCTACTAAATAAAGATAATTTCGTTTTTGTTCCTCATCCACATTAAAACACAAACCCTAATAAACTAATATGAATTCACTATATTTCATGGTTTCTCATCAGCTGCACATAACCATATATGATATTAAAGTATGGTATATAATGTGAATCAACTGACATTGACGACGGAAAGAATTGAAATAACATAGAATACTGATAATAACTATATATATATATATCAAGGCGGGGTGTGAGCCAGTAATTAAATGAAGTCTGGAAACAGATAAGATAGGTCGCATGCTAGTTATAAGAGTTGTGAAAAATTTACACCTGGATTTACCTATTTGTAAGTACGTGCCAAAGCACATACACTAGAAGAACAGAAAGAAAGGTACATGTTCGTATTTCTGAACACATTTCAAAGAATTTGAGATTAAGAGGCGCAACGGCTTTAAATAAGTGCATTAACTCGGCATTTAACTAATACCGAGGATACCATTGCAATTCCTAAATCATTCGAAATTATCAGCAGACACTAAAACGCTTACCGAAGCAATAAAAACAAAGTAACTTAAACGTGATTTAGGTGTCCAGAAAGTGACAGTTATCAACCTATCACCGTATTGATGGATTCATAGCTTCGACTAATTTCACCTGTGAGTATTATTTTTTTGTTCATTTTTTTAAAATATCATCTTCGTTAGACTAATTCTTATTTTTAGTCCAAAGTAATCATCTCATTCATCGGCTTCTTTTTTCATTCAGTCAATTTTCTAAACTTATGTGAACTCTTCAAATCTTGTTAAGTTATTGCGCAATCCATCTTACCAACTAACTGTCTTTTATATTTATTTTCAAGTAATTTGAATTTTATATAAACTCTTCACAACGTTTATGGTTATTACAAGATCTATCTTGTCTGTTTCTGGACTTTATTTGATTACTGACTCACGCCCCGCACCGCCCTCATGTTTTGTGAATTCCATCTTTTAATGACCGCACACCTGTTTTCGCATAGATATCTACACGTAGTCATTATTGATAATCCTTGTTATTTTAATTCTTTTTTGTCGATTTCATTTACTTCACATTATATATCATACCGTAATGTTATACTTTAATATCATATTTGATTGTGAGCAGCTGATAAGAAACCATGAAATATAATGAATTCATATTATTTTGCCTGAATGGTTGTTTTGGCTTTATTAAAATTTATAAAAGAAAGTAATTGCACGAAATCTAACAAAAAAAAGATTGTAATTTTTGACATCCATGAATTTACCTTCCAGTAACTAATTTGTATTAGTATTCTATTTGCGCTTATGTTTTTTATATCAGACTTTTTGAAAAACATATGTCCAGTAAACTACCTATTGATGTACATCCAAATTTGTTGAGTCATTCGAAAAGTTTTAGATATTCTATTTCTAAGTACGGACTATGTACCTGGTTTCTTTGGTCGATGGATTGAAAATAATTAAAAATGCTTGCTTGCTATTTAGTTTATCTTTCATACATATACTCACTAGTTTACGACTTGTGACGTTGATTTCTTGCCTCTGTTGACTATTTTCCTGTAAGTTTCAGGTTCGAACTCTATTCCACCTTTAGTTTGAGTATCTAAGTAGTATCATAGTCTCACACAGAACTTGCGGCTCAAAGCTGAGTACATAAACCTGCACTTGACAAATAAATTACATTATTGCTTTGATTACCTTTCTTAATAATCTCCATTATCCCGGGCCGAACCCTTAGAACATCTTTTCAAATTCACTTGTAGCTCATCTTACCGAAAATACCTGGTTGAACTCAAATTAAAATCGATCATGTAGAAAATCAGTCTCTCTTCTTGGTCGTCAATACGTCTTTTGTAGAATTTCGACTTTTAAAGGCTAAGTATAGTACGTATGTTTATGGATTCAATATTAAAATATCGATCAACATGAACCTGATGTAGGTGACATCGATATTTCCGTCGTTTTGTTGATAGATTATTGTCGAATAAATCATTTTCGCTAACTAGAGATCTACATACAGATGGATATCACACGCTATTGGAACATTCTGACTACTTTAAGAATGAATGAATTAAAGTATTTTTTAATTTGTGCAAATTTCTTGTATAGATATTAAATATTTTTCTCATATCATACTTCTTATTTCTTAGCCTAACTGCTATGCCAAGATAATAATGGTTGAAAGTAAGAAAAAAATTGTTATATATTCCAAAAGAGACATTAATGTTATGGAAGAAATTACGTATGACTACAAATTTCCTTATGAAGAAGATAAGATACCATGTCAATGTGGATCATCATCTTGCCGTGGAACGCTTAATTAGGAGACCTACATGTTCAGACATTTTTTGGTGTCAAAATCCGAACAGATGTATATAGATTTGTAAGTAATTATTGCTTTCTTCTCGAAATCTTTGTGTTACATGAGGATTAGTTATCATTTCCCTACATGTTTATTTCTGTACATACATTCTTTTGTTATTTTCTTATGGTGTATGAATCTTGATTGAACTAATTTTTAAAAATACCTTTCATTCTTAATTCCAACTAAATATTTGTACCAGATTTGTTTACGAAAGATCATTTTTATCCTCGACACTTCAGACTACCCCGTGTAACTTTGTTCTCTTTAATTATTTCCTGTAAGCTTGTGCTTGTCTCTGGTACTGTGTAGAATACGTTCTTTTCGAATACGACGGGTGGGGAATAGTTTTAAAGAAGTCTTTTGCGATTTCAAAAAGTAAATAATTACTTACATCTATCAACCCTCGTGGAGAAGCATAGGCTGCTCACCAGCATTTTCCATCGACCTCTGTCCTGGAAAATCCTTCCCAGCTGTAATTTCTCCCTTACATATCTGCTTCCAATTCCCGACGCAGTGTGTCCTTTGGCCTTCATCTTTTCTGTTTCTCTTCAGGATTCCAAGTTAGCGCTTGCCTCGTGGTGCAGTTTGGTGATTTCCGTAACATATGTCCTATCCACTTCCAGCATCTTTTCCCAATTTTCTCTTCAACTGGAAGCTAGTTTTTCCTCTCCCCCAGTAGGCTGTTGCTTATGGTATTTGGTCAACGAGCATTGAGTATCTTGTGTATATAATTGTTTGCAAATAGCTATACTTTTTTGATGATTGAAGTAATTCTCGAACTTTCAGCTCAGTACAGTAGGACTGTCTTAATGTTCGTATTGAAGATTGTGACTTGATATTGGTTGATAGTTATTTTGAGGTCCATATGTTCTTGAACAGTAGGAATCTTGTCTTTGTTTTAACAATCCTCGCCTTTACGTCTGCATCAGATTCTTTATGTTTATCGATGATGCTGAAACAGATAAGTGAAATTGTCCACCTCTTCGAGTTTTCCATAAAATGTGGTTGGGTCGGTGTTCTCCGTGTTGTATTTGAGGATGTTGCTTTTTTCCATGTATATGTTGAGGCCTATTGATGCAGAGGCTACTGCTACATTGGTTGTCTTCATCTGCATTCGTCGGTGTGTATGGGATAGAAGAGCTAGGTGATCTGCAAAGTCGGAATCTTTTAGTTGCATGCAAGCTGTCGATTGTATTCCATGCTTCCCGTCACATGTGGTCTTCATAATCCAGTCAACCACCAGAAGGAAGAGAAAGGGGAGAGTAAGCAGCCTTGTCTGACTCTGGTCCTTACTTGGAATGCATTTGTCAGCTGTCCTTCATGCACGACTTTGCAGTGAGATGTTGACTATTTTCTCAGCTACCCACTTCATAGTGTCGAAGAAGTTTCCATAATATTTTCCTATCCACATTGTCAAATGCTTTTTTCTAATGAAGGAAGTTGATGTATAGTGACGAGTTCCATTCAATTGTCAGCCAGTAAGCTACAACGTAGGACCAGATACGTTTGTGCGCCCGTCCAAGATGCCACACCTCATTAGCATAACAAGATGAACACCACATTTTTGGAATCAGTTATGTCAATAGTATTAATATATAAAAGAGAAATCGCATATAATGATAGGGTTATAATTTCTCTTATTACGACCCAGCTATTCCTATTATTTAGTATTCTTTGACACCAACTCACTCGACAAGTCCCCAAATCAGAACACTGTTGAACAGGGACGAAATTATATTTCAAATAATGAGGGTAAATGGAAGTAGGAAACGCAATAAAGAAACGTTAGTATATTTATGGTTTTCATGTGAGAAGTTTCTAGAGTCTTCTCCAAGTACCGACTAGCACTGATTGGATAAGTAATTGCCAATAGGCGTGCACCAACACGATCTTTCACGGGACGTACTTTAATTCAATCTATTTCTCGCTAACAGACATAACACAGGAATAAAGAATTAGTTCGTAAAAATATATATCTAGAGTGGTTCCAAGCTCATGGTTTAAAACAAAGTTTATACACTTACGCAACTGTGATCGATCCAGTCTCCTACCACTGGTCACGATAGTCGCGCACATCCTAAACAAGTAGTTTGCATCTACCAACATGGCTAAGACTAGAAATTAGTGACTTCAAGCACATGCCACGTTTTGTTTTGTAATCAAATGCTAGTAACTTACGAGTATCTTCGGCCCTTAATGGTCACGTTCCGCAGCCGTAAATGAAAACAGGACGAACTGTCACGTTGTATACTCGTCCCTTAATTCATAGACAGATATCTCACTTTCTCCATAGGTGACGTAGGTTAGCAAAAGCCAAACGAGGTCTTAATCCATGCAGAAATTTCGTCGGACATCAACCCAATTGGGCTGACCAGACTTCCAAGTTATGTGAAGTTGTCGGCGCGTTCGAGTACTTTGCTCTGTATCCTTGGTTCAGGTGTTGACGCAGACCAGTCCTGAAGCACCAACTTGTATTTAGAGGGGACAGAAACGCCTCCCAGAAGTTCTGGTATTGTTGTACAGTGCTACCAAAAGACTGCATTTTATCAACGGCCTCACCAAACATCTGAGTATTCTCAGTCGATAAATGGACTTCCTGGTAGGAGATCAATTCCTAAAACATGGGGCGACGGGAACGTTATTTCCATCAGTAGGCATGTAGTGGCATCGGGCCCTAAACGCACAATCTTCAAAGCTGAATACGAGACAGCTGGGAAAATGGATATTTACTATTTGATGCGAGGAAAAACCGAACGATGGATAAGGCGGGAACAAGGGATTGGATTAATTCAAATTGGTCGAATGGCATGGCTAGACCTTGCAGGCGTGGTCCCTGTTGGATGTTATCTTATATCCTTTATTCATATTATATCTACTGTTCTATCTCTAGCCTAAGATTGCTCTCCACCATGTATTGGTGATTGTTACGATCCGAATGAGTCAGGGTAGATAACGATGTGACATCCACGTAATATCTTACATATTAAGCAGTTACATCATGACAGATATACAATTTTAGGATTAGGTCTGTTATTAGAGCAGTACTAATATCATAGTGGACCATAATTCTACAGGCCTATGATGAAGTTAAACAAACATGGAGAAAGTGGACAGCCTTGACGGACACCACACGAGGTTCGCCATAAGCTCCGACTCGACTAGTAGTGTCCGAGTAAATAGCCTTCACAAGGTTTACGTACTTCTGAAATACGCCTTTCAATGATAGACACTGCCACAGAATCTCGCGGTCTACCGAGTCAAACGCTGCTTTTAAGTCAAGAAAGACCACCATTGTCGGACGCCGATAAGTATGCCTATGTTCTAGAACCTAACGAATGGTGAATATATGGTCGATGCAGCCACGACCAGGTCTGAAGCCAGCCTGATTTTCTCGTGTTTGCAGTTTACGAGTCTTAGTTAGGTGTCCAAGCAGGTACTCCAGAATGAGCGACAATCTTCTACCGACCCTCTCCAACAATGACTGATGACAATATGGCCTATTTGAGTCCATCGTTGGTTTAGTGTAGGGGGTCTCCATGTTAGACGATCTCTCTCCTTATGCTTAAAATTTGTGTTTGCTAAAAATAAAGGATTGTCTGAGCACAGTTGCAGCAGACGATCACCATTATCTGTTCGTTGTGCTGAAATACTAAAATACCCACCTAAATGCCTTTCTGTATGGTTTAAACTACCTATCTGGGCATTAAAGTCACCTGCTACGAGTACTCTGTGTGAGCGTTTAGCTTTCTGAAGAAGTTCAGAGAGCTTTCTGTAAAATTCATCTTTCACTTCATCCGAGCTGCAGTTAGTGGGAGCGTAGGCAAAAACGACGAAAAGGCGTCGACCTGTGCCCCTATACTTCCGAGTTCTTACGGAGCCGTTCAGCCGGACAGCACATAGGGGACTGTTAACGGTGATCCATTATAATAGTGCTTGTTCCACCCTCGTAGTTAGTGCTATGTCTACCAGTCCACTAAAACTAGCCATCGGGTCACCAGGTACACGGAGGGTGTATCTCGTCGGCCCTCCGTTTTGCCGAGGTGAGGTCAAGTGAATGACCACACTAGGATCCTGTATGCACGTTTCGGATACATCGCATACTTTAATGGTACAAGATTCTAGAGATCTAGTCAAGGAGGCCTGCTGACCGATTTGACATAGGGTGCGTACGTTGAAGGCCCCAATATGTAGTGTGGAGAGAGGTTTCAGTAGACCTGAGACAGTGTTTTGCGTGCTAGAATCGTTGGCTATGGTGACACTTGAGGAGGATGTTTAGAGTTTGAAGTTGATGTAGGAAGAATAATAGGAATTGAAGAGGGAGGTTGATTATGAATACAGTGGTCTTGAGTGCTGTTAGAGGTATGAGGGCGATTATCACTTCCCTGTTGAACACACCGTGGAAGGGTTCTTCTGGAGGTACCTGATCAGAAAATTGGATTAGAGGTGGTCTTAATGACCTGAGAGCTTGACCGCAGTACCCAGAGCACAACTGCTTGATGTCTGTCACACACGATCTTTCCATGAGTAATTTTTGTGTTAGCTCCGTAGTTGTTGAGACCCTACCGATGGAGACGGATATCCGTGGGATAAGGCGAGATATGCATTTTTAGGGTCGACATTTTCTAACCCCACCCCTCGTTATGGGAAGGCAGCACCGCTGTTATGCTGGTTGTCTGAAGGAAACCTTTTACTGCTGTCACACCTCTGTAAAGTCAGCAGTACGACTTCGTCTTCGGACCTTGGGTTTGTTGCTTTCAGTCTTACCGCTCTTCAACCGACCTGTCTGACGTGGTAGGACCTTGAGTAACGGTTTTTCCAGTCAGTATAGCTCAGTTGCTTCATCAAGATAGGCAAGCTCGACCACCAAGTCAAGGTAGCAACAACGGACGACTACTTGGTTGGGGTCCACGTGACTATCGTAACACTCTCTGTCTTCCCTTTAACTAAGAGATTACAATCACTTCATGTCTTTCTGCGAACTAATTCTTTCTTCCTGTACTATATCCTTATTACAATCTTTCTTTTATATCTTACCACGACTGAATTAACTACTTCTATGAATCCGGTGTTCATCTTGTGCTAATGCGGTATGACAACTTGAACCGATCCATATATGTGCCTGGTCCTACGTTGTAGCTGACTGACTGACTGATCACACATTTCATGATAATTATGGAGAAAACGAAGAATATGCACTGTTTGCTTTACACGCTACAACTTAGAAGTGCTAACAATTTATAGTTCTTTTATTCTAAAAACATTCATTTTTATACTACTTTGAATATCTGCGCCTCTTTTTCTACTGTAGTCGATTTTTCTTCTTAAGTTAGTTTTCAATAATTTTCAGAAGCTATGTGAAAGTTTTTATGCATAGTGTTTAAAGTCGCCAGATAGTTGTTCTTTAGATACTTACTGAGTTTGATATCACTTTTTGCTGTTTGAGCTTGTTACCATTCATGTTTGCTGTATCCTTATTCGTAATTCATTCTCGACCTGTTACTTCGTTAAGTACTTTTTATGCGCGATTGTCTGAGCACCCCATTTTATTATGATTGGACCGTTTTGGCGTTGATCTTAAACTAAATGCATGGGATGAAGAAATAATAAACCAATAGAGCTTCATTACTGGTCGTTTATGTACTTCGAAGATAAAAGTCTAAATCAAATATTAACTAATTGAGATAGGAAACAATGTCTGTTTTATTTCCACTTATGTTTCAACTATCATCACAAAGACTGAATCAGGAGTGAGTTCTGCCACATTTTGAATAGCTTCAACTAACCATCTTTCAGTCAAGTACCGTTGGCATTTCCACATTTTTCGACATCTGTTTGGATCAAACTTGCCGAAAGTGGTCAACAAATTTATCCTAAACAACTCGGCCAATTTTTAGAATCTACGTTTTCCGTCAAATATCTAACCGATCTGAGTTATAGGTTAGGTTCCCAGCTACCGGGAGACGAGACGTAAGTGAGCGTTTTGTGCTTTGGAAGGATGAGCGAAGTCTTCTTCCTCTTGTGAATACTACGTTTTTTTGGTTTCTTACAATTTGTGGCCAATGAAGTTCAAAACCTGATTCATATAATGAATATGGTTTCACTAGCATACGGTAAAATGCTTTGTATCAGCATATTGTCTAACTGTCATTCTGAATTTATTAACTATCGACGGCTTGTGATTGGTCGTTGTACTCGTTTCGGTTTACACATGAGTCAATCTCATTGGTTCTGAATTTCGCATCGGTAAATTTTGGTCTATCGTGGTCTTGAGTGCTGTTAGAGGTATGAGGGCGATTATCACTTCCCTGTTGAACACACCGTCGAAGGTTTGTATCGGCATAAGGACCTAACCACACAATCCGCAAAGCTGAACACGAGAGAACCAGGAAAACAGATATTCGACAGGTAACGCGGAGAAAAACCCAATGATATAAAGTGTGGGAAGAACGAGCTGAGTTAATTCGAATTGATCGGATGGCATGGCTCAACCTCGCTGGAATGGTCGCTTTGTACAACTTGTTCTTACTCATATTAAATATATTTTTTATCTTCAGCCTGGATGTGTTCTCCAACATATATTGGTAATTGCTACGGTACGATGCGTTAGTGTAGACAGTGATGTGAATTCCATGTAAGATCTTATATATTAGGCAGTTATATCATGACAAATCTGCAATTTGATGATAAGGTATACTATTAGAACAGTACTAATATCATAGTAGAACATAATTGTACAGGTTCATCCTGGTGGTACCTGAAAAGAAAATTGGGTGCGCAAGGGACAAGTGCTTGATGTCGGCCATACACGACCTTTTTCTGAGCAATTTTTGTTACCTTCGTACTTATCGGAACCTTAACACCGGGGACCAAAATTTGTTGGATAAGGCAAGATGTGTATCTTTGGGTCGACCTTTTCTAACCCTACCCTTCGTTGTGGGGATATAGCATCACTATCTTGCTTGTTGTCTGAAGGAAACACACTACTGCTGTCACACCTCTGTACAGTCAGCAGTACGACTTCGCCCACGGACCTTGGGTTTGTCCGACCACCACCTCAAGGTAACAACAATTGATTGTTCATCAATGATAAGTAGCATGTCTATTTGATCTGTGCATGATCGATGCTAACGAAATCTCGTCTGCTGATCCCGAAGTTGGAAGTCGATTGAATCTGTGGCCAGTTGAGCAAAACTCTGTTGAAAACTTTTCATGGTGCCGATAGCAGTGTGATTATTTAGACTTTTTGCCAGTTGTTAAGTCTCAAATCTTTTTGATAAACATTTATAGATTAAATCCAACCTATGTTTTTGTCTATTCAACTGCTGTTTCCAACTAGTATTTGGAGATATGTTACACTCCACTGATTGCCAGGACAGTTTCACTAACCAAAGCAGTCTTGATATCTTTGATGAATCGTACTGGATGACGTTTTGATTCAAACAGTGAAAGGAAACGACTCAATAATAAGATAGATAAGACAGTCCATGTCGTTTCTTATCACTGAGTATAGTCATTTCAAGAATTCTCCATCAATCTGTATCTGCCTCTATCTCACCCATCGTTAACCGCATGTTTTATGGACCGGTGATGTCGTTTTATGTGGTGACTCGAAGCACTTCGATGGCGTTGTTGGATCTATGTATGGATGATGGTTTAACATTTGGAGTCCAGCTGATACAGGTTGTCAATTTCACCAGCTAACTTGTCTGTCACATCTAGTATGTACAAACTGTCACTTATTGAGTACTTCTTGCACACATAAAGTGCTTGAAAAACAACAATAGTCTCGGCCTAACTACTACCCTCATCCAGTGTCTTAATATGCAAACCTTAGAGAGCATGAGGCCTATGTTAGGAAGTAGGTCACTACTTTCGTGTAAATCAAGTGTGATAAATAGCCCTGAAGTGTCAGATTTCATAACCAAGGGGACAACATATTTCAAATATTTAGCTTTTCACTCAAGCCATGTACGTTACAGTATATTTCGTCAAAGATTTCAGGTCCTAAGATCTGAAAGCACTATACTCTCAATAATTTTCGTGTATATGATCAGCCGTAAGGAGGTCTGGAATCATGTCTATTTACTCAGTTCGAAGAAAAATATGTGGTGAAAACTTCAAATTTCCCGGTGTTTCATTGCCTTGATAGGTTCAGAGATTTAAAGTTTTAGTCTCTTTCTATGTTACAGTTGAGACAAGACTTGTAGGGAAGCACTAATCAATACATAACTACACTTTAGAAGAAGAATCAATAGTGTTGAACCATGTAGTCCTCTAAGTGATGCGTCCTCACTAGTCTAAGCACATTCTGAGAGCCTTAGCATCCTTGAATGCCACACACGAAGATAAGAACCCACTATTGTTAAAAGAAAGTCCCGCGCAACATAAAAAGACGTTCCTAGGGCTAAAAGTTTATTTATTTTTGGAAGATTTTTTTCGTAAAAGCATTTAGAGGATTACCGTGGGGTTTACTTTCTGCTGCTAGGGGTTTGCGTACGAGTAGTATTGAGTTTGTACAGACATAAGTAATTCACTTTTGAAACCAATGACGAAAACATGAACAATTACTTAAAATACTTTAGACAACGAGTTTGCGTCGATTGCTTAAATAGGAAAAGTAAAGGGACTAGATTTGACTGCTGTTCATGGCCAATTTTCTGATCCTGAATCAATCGGCCTTTATTATGAATACTTGATAAGCTAATCGGTAACTTTCTACTTTCATAGTCTCGATATGGGCTGGGCCTAAAAAACTAACTGAATATCATTTTTGAGGTGATAGTGTAGGACGTCTCGTCAATGCGCAAAGACGAAAACATGGAGTTTCCAGCCTAGGACCAACAGGTGACAGAGAGACATTACCCTTTAGATCGCTGAGCCGCAATGGGATAGTTCCATCTTCAGTCGCCGAGCGATATTGCGTTACCATTTTTAGTTTCATTTGGAGGGGACTGAATCACGCTCGATAATGTTGAACACCATGATTTACGGCTCGCATTGACATTTGCAACTACCATTATTTATTTATTTATTTGGACACAAATATTGGTAGAAGAGGGCACCAAATATGTATGCGCCACACAAAACAATGAGAATTTGAAGAGAAGAAGGAAAAAACGAGAGGTAAGGAGTGTTAAAATAAGACCAATTACGAAATGATTAGTGTATGTTAGTGTAATAATAATAATAATAATAATAATAATAATAATAATAGGGGAACAGAAGGGTACAGTCAGAAGAAATCTTTCAGTTAAGGAAGATACAACCACATTTTTATGAAGAAAGTAACGGAAAGCTACACCAGGATCGCCACTGGCTTCTATTCTGAGCCATATCTGATAACGTTTCTAGCCACTGTGTTGCACTATCTCTCGGACCCCAACCAGGGAGTCGTGAAGGACCGACACAAGCCAGTCCTTTGCAGCTTTCTTTCATGCCAAGACATCATGTCATACACTGACCACCTCTCCGCTTTTTCCAACCAGTCCCAGAGTCGGCAAATAATGCACGGCGTGGAATTCTCTGGGACGACATTCGTAGAACATGTCCAAGACACCGAAGTCGGTGTTTCAAGATGGTGACATCGATTGCATTATCATCTCTGTGCCCGAACACACGATGCCGAACCTCTGCATTACTAACATGATGTTGCCACTGGATGTCAGCAATCCTTCGGAGACAGCGATGATCGAACACAGAGAGTCGTCTAACGTCCTCAACTCGGAGAGGCCAGGTTTCACAAGCATAGAGCAAAACTGCTCTCACCGACGCGTTGTAGATCCGACCTTTTACAGCCAGACTAACATCATGAAGGCGCCAAAGATGGCCCAGATTGGCATAAGCCGCTCTGGCTTTCACTATACGTGCATTGATCTCATCACTCACACCCCCACCAGCACGAACTTCTCGACTACGTCTATCTGCTCACCATCCAGGGTGAGTACAGGATTGGAATCCTGCCAGTCTTGTAGAAGTACTTTGCACTTGGAAGGTGCAAAGCACATACCATACCTACGGACACTGATTGTCAACTGATTAAGTGCGGATTGCATGCCTTGGGCATTATCGCACAGTAAGACAATATCGTCCGCATACTCAAGGTCGAGAAGTCTTTCTCCAGGCAACAAATCCACACGACCATTACTTAAATCCATCAGAGCTGTTTCTAGAATGTCATCAATGGCAAAGTTGAAGAGGAATGGTGAGATTGGGCAACCCTGTCTAACCGCACTGCTTGAATAGAACAATGGAGAGAGGTGGTTGTATGCCCTTGTAGAACTATGGTCTACTATGATATTAGTACTACTCTTATAATAGACCTAATCCTAAAATTGTAGATTTGTCATGATATAAATGCCTAATCTATAAGATCTTACGTGGAAGTCACACCATCGACTACACCAACTCACTGTATCGTATGAAGTACAAATACATGATGTAGAACAAGGTTAGGCTAGAGAAGGAACAATATATTTAATGTGAGTAGAAGATATAAGATAACATTCAGATGGACCATGCCCGCATGGCCGAGCCATGCCATCCGATCAACTCCAATTCATTCAATTCCTTGTTCCCGCCTACTCCATCGTTAGGTATTTCTCCGTGTTAAATATTGAATATCTATTTTCCGAGTAATCTCGTATTCAGCTTTGAGGATTGTGTGGTTATGGTCCAATGCCAATGAACTTCTCAGGCACACCCTTCTTCAATAGACAATCCCAGAGAACAGTGCTGTCCAACGAATCGAAGGCAGCCCCGATGTCAAGAAACACTACGATTGTTGGCCTTTGATAAGTATGGCGGTTTTCTAACATTTGGCGGAGGGTGAAGATATGATCAAAACATCCTCGAACAGAACGAAACCCAGCCTGCTCCTCGCGAGTCAATCTTTCTCGGGTTTTGAACAACCTACGAAGTACGACGGAAGCCAATAGCTTGGACGCAATCGGAAGTAGACTTATTCCTTGGTAGTTGTTACAGGTGTAAGATCCATTTTGAAGGTTTTATGTGTTGGTGAAAATCCCTCCATGTATATACTTGTACTTTATTCCTATTGATCGCATTAGTTGTACATTGTTGTATTTTGATTACATTTGAATTGTTAATATTTGTATTTTTGTTATAGTTTTTGTTTTTATTACGCATTCACTAAGTTTGTGTTTCTTCCTGAACTGCATCTGCGTTGTTTTACTTGACACTTGTTCTTGGCGGTAGCCATATTGATTTGTTCCTCCTGTTGTGTGTGATCTATCCAGCCAGGATAGAATAACGTTGATTTGTTGTGATTGGTAATTTTTCCTCATCTTCTATCAACTTCTTTATTTATTGTAATTTAGATTTAATTGATTGAACAATCATTGGTTGAATAGCCGGGTGATAATATTTGTTTAGGTAATGATTTACATTAAATTTATTATGAATTATAGAACCGCTAGTTACCCGATTACTTGTTCTGATTTCGACGGGAAAGGGCGCGTGTCTAAAACCCCCTGTCGGCTATTCTTCAACATCCAAACCGTAGTTTGGATCCTACAGTTCTAAACAAATATTACTTGGCCGAAATCCTTTGGTAATCATTCACGGATTTTCTGAAAATAATTGGTCGTGTCGCTTATAATGCCAGTTAATCGTCGAAGGAGATCAGGCTCAAAGTTCGTCGATGTTAACGAAGAATCCCCTATTGTCAAGCAAGTGCCTTTTGACGTCCCTTTGGGTCATGGTTCAGACTTAAATAGGGTTAATTATCATGGCAGTGATTCTAGCCTTAATTCGATGTCAGTTGATGTAAAAAATCTTAGT